TAATCTTTAGGGTGAGCGGGGCACAACCTGACATGAGTCCACACATGGTTGGTTTCCACACATGCTAGCATGACAAAACTAGATTTACTAGATGCTATATCCATAGGCTCTACATATTTTAGCCTAGCAAAAGTACATTTCTTACTAGGTGACTAAAGACAATGCCAATGCGTCAATGTTCAGTTTGAAACTAATATTCATATTTGTTCTAGACATGTGTGAAACAAATACAGAGAACAGGAAAAATACATGCATAGTAGTAGGGGTATCAACAGGGGCGTGGTAGTGGGGGGAAAAGTGGACCTGACTACCCAGGGCCCCGTCTAGGGAGAGGGCCCTTTGAAATCCCACCAATTTTTAAAAAATTTTTTTTTAAACCTAATTAGAATTAATTGGGCCCTCCAATTGATGTCATTAATAATAATTTTAAAAAAAATATTGACCAAAATGAACTCAGTGCCAGACACTCTGGACCCCCTTCCAAATGGTTTAGTCCGCAACGCGTCGACCGCCCATAGACGCAGCGGGCGGCAAACAAGTAATAACGCAGTGAGTCTAGAGCCTGTAACGGGAGCCTGATCTGATCATGCTGTGCAAAAAGCCCAAATCGGGCTTTAAAAAATAGAAAGAGAGGAAAGAAAAAGATGGGAGGCAGAATGCGGGGAAGCAGCTGATGACTGCTTTCTTCCCAAAAGGTGAACTGAGTTTGCTATATGCACCTAACGTTACATCCAATTAAAGTCAACGTAACTTAGTCAACTCCAGACAGCTGCTGCTAATGCAGGGTTCCAGACTGCGACCAAATTGGTCTCATATGCGACCATTTTTTTGAGAATTTGATTGTGCGAGTTAAAATTGTATGTGATGTGGTCGCGTCGCATATATACGAGTGGACGCTCGCGCAAAAGAACACCGACCGTTGTATCAGCTGCTGCAGACTGCAGTCCGTAACTTATGTTCAAAACGAACGAGTAGGCTACATCATGAATCCATTTTCCAAACCGTGTTTTTGACTTATCCTGAATCACTACGCCTGTTATAAGTGTTTATATTCGGACTATTTTTTTATCCGGATTCCCGGGGTTGACTCGGATGCGAAGTTGCCCAGTGACTGCGTGACTCGCCATAGACATTATGGAGAGAAGTAGCTCCGGCAACAGTGTTCTTCCGCAAGACACATAGACGTCACGCGCGCATTGCACACTGATGGTGGAACACGCCAATTACGAATTCATGAATAAAAATATAAAAATTAAAATGTCTCAGGAAACAAATTATATGCAGGAGGTAAGGAGTGTGAGATTTCTGATTTTTGAACTAACTTATAAAATTTGATAACGAAAAATCTGTTTTAGCTTGTTGTAATACTCTAATCTTTTAAAATGTAATGTACATTTGAATGTTTAATGATTTTTAAAAGATAGAAATATGATGCTAATAGAAAAATGACAGACACAGAAGATTATGATTCAAATGTAAATAGATAGATTGAATGTAATTCAAATGTAAAATTCTTAAAATTACAGATTACAATTACTGTCCAAAATCCATGAAAATCCTGAAATTTGGCAATGATAATTAATATATTACAGGTATTTATGGTAAGCCTTTGCTGGCTTTGGTCCATTAAAACCACTATTCATTGGCATGCATTGATTAATCCCATGGCATGTAGCAAAAAAAATAAAAAAAATAACCGCGACGAAATCAAATGCTGATGCGACCAACTGAGAAAGTTGGTAGCATCAGTTTAACCTGGTTTCTGAGGGTACAGTTGTCTCTCGTGTTCTTGTGTTCTCCTATTTAAAAATAAATGTTTTTCATTTAAAACTTGCATCAGTATCATGGATCAAAATGTTAGTACACAAAACCGATGTAGCCTAAGGTTTAAAGGTATTTGAGCACAAGTAGGCCAAATGCATCAATTCAGGTGGTGAATGAAAGAACCAGTCATTACTATAATCTGATTTTATTATTTAAACACTGTTTATATTTGTTTATATTCAAATAATTAAAAAAATACATTTCATTCAAAATTGAATTTTCACTTTGCTAACCCGCATCGTAAAATGCCATGTGTAGGGGGGCCCATTGACATTGAGAGTGTACAGGGCCCAGAATTTGGTGCTACGCCCCTGGGTATCCACCTTGTTCCTGATGAGCTAACTTCGTTTTGAATTATGAGTGGCACACTTCCGGTTTGGGGAACTTCCATTCAAAGGCTGTTTGTAGAAACTGTTTCAGAATTCAAGTAGGCCTAATACTGACCTCTGGTGGTAATATGGGGACATTACATTTGTGGCATTTCTTTCATACATTTCAAAAGGATCCGGATGGTTAAATGGGCCATTAACTGCCTTTTTAATTTTTTTTTTGTACTGTTCTCTGAGGTCCACTTATAATGATATCAAGATTTTTACATAAAAACTATCTTAATAGCTAGTAGGTGATGACCGTGATTCTCTGCAGAAACATTTTGTTGTGATGGTTAAAGCCAAGGCCTCATATCCTGATAGCAGTCACTCTGTAAAGCGGTCTACTTTTATTTTTATAAACATATGTCGTCAGTGGAAGGCGGAGGACCATAAAATGTTCGTTCAATCGTTGCGTTTGGACCGACTACCCTTGGATGCGACGCGAGGGCAGTCTCCCCGACAGTCAAAACAGTGGTAGCCTACGTCACGAATACGTGGAATATCTTACATCTTACAAAAATAATAGGCCAATTTCAATGGCAAAAAGTGTCACAATCAACTAATTATGTTAAAACAAAAACTTTAAATATAACCATTTAATTGTACATTTAAAGCATTTATTTTATATATTGTTGTATAGTATAGTTACAACAATAGTTTTATTAAATAGTTTTATTTTATTGGTAATAAATGCATTGAGACTAGAGATAGCCTATTTTAGTATCACTACAAACCCAAATACAGAAAAGTTTAGACATTTTTGTAAAAGCAAGAATCTGCGATGTGTTAATTATCCTTCAACTTTATTTAACTGGCAAAAGAAGAAAATATTTCCCTTTTTTTTTCACCAAACAATGTAATTGTATTTTGTAAATATAAACACATTTTTATCGCAGTCCAAAAAGGTTGCGACAGAGGCATTTTTACAATTGTGTCACATCACCATTCCTATTACACTTTTTAATGGCTTGGAAATTGTTCCGGATTTGGGTTTGTGTGTGTAGAGTATTAAGTATTCTGTTTTCATTTTAATTGCAGTAAATGTTTTATCATTTTTATTAGGATTTTTAGTAAAACTTTACAATAAGGTTGATTAGTTATTAGTCATGAACTAACAATGAGATATACATTTGTTACAGTATTTATTATTCTTTGTTAATGTTAGTTAATAAAAATACTGCTGTTCATTGTCTGTTCATGTTAGTTCAGTGCATTCTTGTTAATAAATACAATCTTTATTTTGAGTGCATTTAATGATTAATAAATGCTGAAGAAGTAGGCTATTGTTCATTCTTAGATCCATGTTAGTTAACTAATGTTAAATATCAATGAATGATTATTGATGTTATTCATGATGTGAAAGAAAACTATGCTTCAATAATCACAGCTCTTGTTTGAAGGGAAACTGAAAAGAAAAAAAGGGTAGACAAACAGTCTAACCACAGGGTGGTTCAGAGATTGCTATCAGGAAAAAACCTATGTTTTTTTTATACGTTTTTAATTTTTACCTAAGTGCAAAGGGGTGTTGAGAGGCACAAGGCCATCTTAAGCATTTCAGACAAGATGGAGGCAGTAGTGTTGCTTCCTTTTCGTTTTGAATTATTTTACTTACACAGCCTCCTACACTAATTTCATTGGGTTAAGTGCATGCACCATATTTGATGTACAAGATGTGCAAGGAAGGAATTTTATCACTTTGATTTTGTCAGAAGCTGGGACCTTTGACTTTTGGAGTAAAATAACAGTTTTGATAATTCTAGGGGCAGACAGCCTGAGATAAAAAAAAAGTCTATGCTGATCCTAATAAAGCAAATACAATTAAAGAAACATATACTTACTCCCTCTACTCATACGTTATCTTTTTGCAATTGAATGAAAAGAAAATTGTGTCTTTGGTCTAACAAGTACTATCAGGTCACAACACAAGTCTTACTTAGGGCAGAAAATAGTAGGTTACTTACATCTATTTTCTTTTCTATTTCCTATCTATTTCCCAAAAAACAGGAAGAGGATCTCATGTGCACTTCACCACCTGATGCTGCATGCTATTGCCAATGCAGTCATATTATGCTGTAATGCCTCCTAGTGGTTGTAATATTTTTAAATATCAACATTAGCATTTAAAAAGTAGATTATTGTTGAATTATTTATAACTACTGTATCATATTTGATACGCAAATTACGAAAAGCCTCTAAAATACCAGCAAGATAAAAACTTGTGTCGTCTGATTGATAGTTTATGCTTTTTTATGCTTTTATTAGCATCTCAAAATGTTCCCCTTTCGGTTGTGGTAAACTGGTGTTTAAATGCATTTGATGAAAGAAGTCAGCCATACTATTACTGCACCACAGACCACATATACGCAACACGATCAATGGTTGTTTCAACATGTTCTCACACTTTGACTGATCACTGTGAGTGATCCTCACAAATTTCGTTCTCCCCACACTGAAACTGTGCCTGCAGTGAAACACTCTATGGTTTACACTAGACTGAAATATGAGTCAGTGTCAGGAAATTGCTAGTGTTATGCAACAGATTGAATGTGAGCTGTGCCGTTCGTCCAAAGAAAATAAGGCAAGAAAATGAAGGGCAAGAACATCCGTAAATTCTCTTTTTACTGTCTAACTGGGCTCATTTCCATGCCTTTCAAACTCTACAGTCTTACATTTACTACAGTGAATATATAATATACTATTGTAAAAATAGACTATATTCTGTGTATGCTTGAGATAAATCACAAATGTAAATCATAACGAAACATGAATAATACAATTCTGGTCATTAGTAGTTCTGTGTTTTACCAGAAAAGGAGACGGAGGTCCAGCTCTCCAGAGAAAGAGCCGCTCCAGATGTTTTAGGCTCCTCCTTTCGCTCTGCTCTTTCTCTAAACATTCCAGCCAACTTAGTGCCTCTGCATGAGGGCTTTTCCACTCCGCCTGTCAAAAACACATACTCACACACTTACCATTTCTAAGCAGTCTCCTCCGGTCTTTAATATGAGAGCCCTCCAGTTCCTTGTCCTCGTTCTTTCTAGCTTGGTTGGGGCACAGCAGCAGGCCCTTATGGACTACTTGGAGAGAAGACTCCTTGCCATTGAGGTAAGAACAATAATGCTCTCCCAGCCAGACCCTGACCTCCAGATACGGGCTGACATGGAGTTTCGAGAGGAGTGAAGCTAAAGAACAAGACAACAGACTGAATTTTGGATGAATTGTGGATTTGTTTAAGGATATAGTGCAGTTACGTTAGGTCTATAATACTTGCTCGGTTTGAACTTTGAGCATTAATTATTATTTTTGATATTTTTTAAAGTTCTGTGAGGTTCCCCATAGAAGTGCAGATTCACAGAAAAGTTGTGGGCTGAAATTATATTTAATGATCAAACAAATACTCTTGAAATAAAAAGCTTCAGGGTGTTCTTTATAGGATTCTTGAGACAATTGTAAAAACACTTTATGCCAAAAAGGTTATATAAGGAGAAATGTCTTTAATTATTGAATAATACTTTGATAAAGTATGTTTACAAGCTGTTTAATTCATAAAATTAAATTTTTAACTAATAATTACTTAAAACTAAAATGATCCCATAGTTGGAACTCCTAAAAGGTTAAATTTTTAGTGCTGACTATTTGAACTGTTATGTATATTTATACAGTTTTTTATATTAATGGAGCAACATAGTTTGTAAGTAAAAAAGTTTGTTTCATGCAAATATAAAGGCAGATGGTGAACCCCTTTTACTCAAAGTATCGGGTAAGAGATCTACTGTATACAGCAATATTTGCAAATATATGCATATATATGATATTTTAAGCACAAACTCACGCGACATGATAACTGTACCCAATGCATGCCAGACAATCACAGCGAAGCAAAAACAGACAGACACACGCGCTATCTCTATTCTCCTTGAGTTAGTCACCTGATCTCCCCCTCTGTGTCTTGGATTCATCCACATAAAGAAATTTTTCTCTCTTTTCTCTCTGTGCTGCTGACTCTGCACATACAGTTCTCAGGCAAGTCATTTTGTGTGATTATGCTAAAACGCACTTTGCTTCTTCTTTCCTTCCACTGAACATTTGCTGCCAAAGGTTGATCCATCTGCAGCGCAAATGATGCTGTTCCAATGCCAAAGTCCTCATGAATTCCTGCAGCTGTCAAGGGAGGGCTTATTTTTGAATAATTTACACTCATGAGGCTGTCTGATTCAGTATTAAGTGTGCTCGAGTTCACGGTTTAAAATGTATTCAACATGCTTAGAACATGTGTGTGCATTAAAGCCATCTGAAATCAATCTCTGCATGCATGTTCTATACTAACGTCTAAAATAGTGGCCTGTATTTGTTTGTCTAGCCTATAAATGTGTTCTGTTAATCTCCATACTGTTTCAAATCAGCAAAAAAAAAAATACTGCAAAACCCCATAGTTATCCTGTAGCTTTTGTGTGCACACTTTTAACATCTAATACTACAGTGATTTATATGCTATAGCTACTACTATCAATAGTAGTCCGGTTTGTTTGTGTAATGGAAGATTTGTCACAAATTTTGGGGTTTAAATGGGTCATATGACCTAGCGTAAGATATTATGCAAAACGAAAGAAACCTCTCGTAAGAGAACGTACTCGGTTACTATAACCTCGGTTCTCTCTAGAAGGAACAAGTACTGCGTATTTTTGCCGTGCCTGCAACACGCTCTGGTTTGCTTCGGCGGTGAAAAACCAGATTATATCAGCCCATTGAGCTGTATTTATAGGCCCAGGCCACTCCCGTCTCTGCGGGACGTGACGTAGTGGGTGCAAAGCGCCCCCATTGGATCTGACGTCACCAATGGCCACTCTTGATAGGCTGCTGCAGTTGGTGCAGGACAGCCAATAGGCACGGCCAAGAGGCAAATAATTTTTGGCTTCAATATTTCGTGGAAAAGAGGTTTTCCCCTAGCGTAAGATATTACGCAGTACGTGAGAACATCTCGTAAGAGAACAAACAGTCATTATCTGAAACACTGAAGATACAGTGGCTGAGTTTTGTTTTCGAAAGGGAATATTATGTCTACGTGACTACGTCACGTCCCGCTGAGACGGGAGTGGCCTGGGCCTATAAAAACAGCCCGATGGGCTGATATAGACTCCGAGCTCGGAATTTTGCCCAAACCCAGAGTACTCCCCCTATACTGGGACAAGCAGAGTGTGAGGTGTTATTGTCTGAGTGTGAGTCTTGAGTTGATTGATTGATTACCTGAACGTGCTCCTCCTGAACTTTGTTACATATAACTTTATTTCAATCTGAATTCATTCCGATTGGTGAATCTGAATGTAGTGTTTACATGAATGCTAAACAAGTGATCGGTTGAAAATTTGCGTTGCATTTTAAAATTGCTAAGAAAATTCCCGCTCCTCTGTGAGAGATACAAGACTGGTGCATCTCACAGGTGTCGTGTCGCTCATCAGTATTCACACCACCGGCCTCGCGCCGTTGTCCCACGGCCCTAGCCTCGTCCTGCTCCTACAAGTAAACATAATGAATGACGACTGTAGAACGCAAAAGCTGAATCCCAGACATTTTGGCCTATCTTGAAACACATTTTCGGACAGGCTCATCACGGAGACTCACTAGTAGCCTAGACTTGTTGTTTAACTACTGCGCTCTGTTACTGATAGGTGTGGCCTCCTAGGGCAGTGAAGCAAGTGCATTCTTGGAGTTGTTGTCTTTCATCCACATAAGACAAAAATACATTTTCTGGCTTTTCTCAGTCTAGAAAGCTCCAAATTAAAAAAAGAATTTCACATTTCTTCTTCATAAATGACCCATTTTAAACACACATTCATCTTTCCAGAGGTGAAGTATCCCTTTAAGGTAGAAATGTGCCTTTAAATAAGTGATCTAGAGGGTGTTTATGAGCAGGCCTTCTATGATATTAGACTATAGCCTATAATAAAAGTTAATGAATTTCAAACGTGAACCAAACATTTTTTTTCAAAGATCAACAGTCTGTCATTAGTCTGACATAAAAAACAGCGTGTTGTGCACGTACAGTCTCCGTTCGCACGCGCTCATCTATCGCCGCTGCAGACTCTCTTTTCATTCAAATAAAAAATAAAATGCACTCAAACTTAGAAATATTTACTTACTAGTCCATCAACAAGATCGCCAGGTCAGTATCACTGTTGCATCCAGTGCTGCTTTTTTAGCTCGCGCCAACAAGTGAAAAGCCCCATCTATGGAAAAGCCTGACCAAGGGACTCTTGTCTGGTTCCTCACGTGTTCAGATTATCGTTTCCTTGTTTTCTTTGCTTTTTCCATCGTCGAGTACATAGATATCTATATAAAGGCTAGATATCTCGTCCGCGCTGCTGGTCAATCGAGATCGACGTCAGCACCTGGCGGCTGTCACAGGCAGCTCGCTCACTCGTAACATTGTTTTAATGGTGCATGTCATTTTTAAATAACCGTAACTTGCTCAATTTTCTACCGATTTTCAAACGGTCTGTTTTGTTATAAGCGTCAGAGATGTAGTTATGACACTGCATACTTATGAATAACAACTCTATAAATAAATAATCATCCAGAATTATAGCCACGTTGATAACATTTGTAAGAAACCAAACCGTTTGTAAATCCGTCAAGATTTCAACGAGATAAGAGTATTTGTGTTCGTGCTGATCACTTATACATCAGATACCACAGAGTCCACCAGAAAGCCTGCCTGTGACAAGATGGCTGCTGCTGGTGATGACGATAAAGACTCCGCCGTAACGTAAGACATCTAGCCTTTATATCACGTATGAAATGCGCGCAAGTGTCTTTATGAATCATATGTTGTTGTTGATGTGTGTGACGTCCTTGCCGTAAAGCATACCGTGATTCTTAAGAGATTTGTCGGGGGCGCTCCTCTCAAACTTGGGGATTTTTATTTCTTTCCATTGGCCTAATTGGGGTAAATAAAAAGTTCCCAAGCTCATCCAACCTCTCCTGGGTGCTTACATCTGCTCACGACGACGACTCAGTCACATACCAACAAGTTGTCATGACACAAGTTGTGTGTATGCGGACAAAGTATAGGCTATATCCAACTTTACACAGAGATTTCCTATATTTTGCTTTGTGTAATTATACTGTATAAAGTTGGATGTACTATATCATTTTTGTATAACTAGGCTATTTCAAGCAACCGAACATCTTCGTAGCTTCATAGCAACGCCCTGGCAACCCCCCCTAGTATTGTGGTAACCAGAAGAACATTTATTTAAAATTACTATCCCACTAGCCTTGCTAGCCTTTAGTTAATCTTGTATTATTGAAGTTGCCACTTTTAACAGATATGTTTACATCTGACTAACTCGTATCTATTTTACTGAGGCTCTTGAGACTTGTTTTTCTTTATTTCTCCATTGGCAGGATCGTATCTCCTTGTGGCATGAGCAGACCAGCCGCTACGCCTCTGAGCTGCGCGAGTTCAAGCAGCAGATGGTGGCACAGCTAGAGGGCCTGGACAAGAGCAAAGAGGCACTGCGGAGCGAGTTGGACACAGTGGGAACACGCGTAGATCGCGTGGAAAGAGAGATGGACTACCTCGAAACACAGAATGGCGCGCAGCCTTGCGTGGACGTGGATGACAAGCTGGTGGAGCAGCAGGTGACAGTTGTCAAGGAGAGAAACAAAGCCAAGTACGCCAAGCTTACAGGTAAAGAGCTTTAGGTAACATTCCACATGCTTAGATACGGGTAATGTTTGCCTTGCAGCAAGCATGAGCTATAGTTGGCTCATTCAACAAATTCAGTTCTCTGGGGTTCCATTCTCAATGCATTAGAGGCACAAATGCCATGTTTTTGTTGTGAGAACTATTACAGATTTTATCTAACATAAAATAAAATATTACTTAAAATTGTGATTTATAAATAAAAAAAGACAAAATAAGGACACAGTCTGTTGAATTGGGAGTATTAAAAATAGTTTTAAATAATCTCTATTTATTTATTACACAAATTTATTACACTTTAGTGGAAAGCAAATATTGACTTTCTAATTCCAGCAAAAGACGGATTGCAAAGGAAAGGTCATAGAATATTTGACGATTAAGATATGACAGACTACTGAAAGGAGAATTTCTAAGCCAAAGAGCTGTTAATACAATATTTAAAGTGATAGTTCATCCAAAAATGAAAATTACTTTGATTTTCCATTTATACGTTTAGACTGTAGTGACATGATCTCCAGCATCAAAGCCATGAAGATCCTCAAACGAGTGGGCGGCACAAAGGGAATGTGGACCAAAGACATGGGAAGTGCCACCGGGAAGGTGTACGTCTTAAACGGGACAGGTGACAGTACGGTGTATGAGTTTGGTACAGTCCGTGAATTCACTTCCTCCCAAGGGACTTCAGGGGCCACCGGCGTGCAGCTCCCTTCGGCCTGGAGTGGTATGGGCCATGCAATCTACAACAACCACCTTTACTATCTGAAGCAGGGCGGGGACATGAAACTAATAAAGTTTGATCTTCAGAAGAACATAATCACGGACACGGCGGTGTTTCCAGCTAAAAACCAGCTCCCAGCGTACACCCTGAATCCCGAGACCTTCATCGACTTAGCAGTGGACGAAGAGGGTCTATGGGCCATCTACGCCACTCAGGAGAATGAGAGGCACATCTCTTTGGCCAAGATAGACCCTAAAACTCTAGACATTGAACAGATGTGGGACACCCCTTGTGTGAGGGAGAATGCAGAAGCAGCGTTCGTCATCTGTGGGACTGTTTATGTGGTCTACAACTCCAAACTTCCCAGTCGCTCCCGAATTCAGTGCGTGTTTGACGTGAGTGACATGGTAACAAATGACGACGCTCCACATGTATACTTTCCCAAACGGTACGGCACTCACGCCAGCCTCAAATACAGCCCAGTGGAGCAGCTTCTCTATGCTTGGGATGATGGCTATCAAATCCTTTACAAACTCCAAATGAAAAAGAAGCTGGAGGTGTAGAATCAAGCAGACTTGGAGAGGAAACCCCCTTGTTATTGGCTTGCTTTTTTTTATGCAACCCGGCTGAGTCACACTTCAATACATTTGAGCTTCGTAGTTTCTCTGAGAGCACAACATGATTGATTGGACACATGTTTGTTTACTAGATGTGTAGATAAATGTGTTTAGATCAATGTAAAGGGCTCAAGAAAGAACCATTTTAACTTAGTTTGCCTGGAGCAGAACTAATAAAATGTTTTTATATTTTATTTTGACATGAAATGTGCCGTTAATAAATACATTTGCAGTTAATAAATAATTGCAACAATTCACCTAGCAACTAGAGGAACACATCAACAATATTACAGTGATATCAATACTTAAAGGTACACTGTGCAAATTTTTGGCCCTCTAGAGGTCAGAAAAAACTGATTTGGTTGTGTTTTGGTATTGTGGGGATGAATATCCTATGGTCACATTCACTACTAGGATTTAGAGATACTGTATAACCAGTTTAGATAGAAAAAGATCTCAAGCTGACTAGCTGAAGACGTTACTGTTGGTTTACCCATTAATAGAGCTACATATGGCAATTTATCATTTTAAAGCTACACTGTGACTCTTTTAGTTTATTCTTAGCTAAAAACACTTAGTTCTTTCAAAAATATATGTGTTCATTAATGTATATGTACTTCGTTCAAGTAATAAAGTATTCTCGTGAGTGTATAATATGACATTGAAAATACATACGGGTAAGGCGTTCTAATGTCGGTCGCCATGTTGCCCCTCCAACTTGAAAGTACATTAGCCAAAGAGGGACATACCTGTTAATTCAAGCTTCGCCTTTCGCGTTTACGCTTGAGTTAACACTCATGGACGAGGTCAAACTGTAAGCCATGTTAATCTTGGACTACATTGGCCACCGTAGGAGTTAAAACGAAATCGGAATTGAGAGGAACAGAAACTAATATTCACTGGATGGTCATATACCTTTTCACCGCTAGATGGGGGTAAAAATCACACAGTGTAGCTTTAAATAAAATATATTAAATAACTAAAACAATCCTGCTCTGTCTAGGCTTAACCAATTGAATCAGGGTGAGACAAAAACATGTTTTGGAAGAAGAAATACAAAATTTAAACAATGAGTCAGTCAATACGCTGATTTCACGCAGCCATCATTTTGAAATGGCTCCGGTGGGAAGAAAACCGGAAGTGTCACTTTAAATCATAGGAGAGTCGCGAATGCCATGGCGTATTGTTGTGTTTAATGTAGAAATTTGTTATTCTAAAAATGTACATACATTTCTTTCATAGTTTATACTATATACAGTGACATTTATAAATACATTTTTTAAATATATATTCAGAACACAAAAAAGAAGCAGGAACGAACTATATACATATCCTATATTGGATATTAACATCTAATAGTTTAAATCGCGGCAGCAGCTTCAGGTTGGAAATCCAAGACATTGTTGTCTATCCGTACTTCCGAGATTCTTCCCACCAGAGCCTCGCTTTCGATTTCAAAATAGCAGCTGCGTGAAATCAGCGTATACACTTTTTGACATAGTCCAATTAGTTCTTTCTTATATACGAAATATGCCAAAGACATGAAGGTAGTAACACTTTCAGTGAAGACAGCCAAACACTTAACTGCTGAATGGTCAGTTATCCAATCAGAATCAAGTATTCGAGCCGCGTAGAGGTGGTTGTTTTTCTACATCTTGAGTTCATTTAAACATGATAGTGGAATAAAAAAGCAAGTCTAGAGCAACTTTTTAACTTGAGCGCCATGTATTTAGAACACCATTTTAAACACGTACTTGTAACGCTAGTTTACATTGAAACAATGTAACAGCAGTAGTGTAATCTGATCACACATGACAAAACATTCTAAAAATTTCTCCATTCCACTGCCACACGTTCTGTGTGAACTGGCCCGAATCTGATATTGATATTTAACAAAAAATAAAAGTAGAACAAAACATATAGAAGCAAGATCTTTAATCACACTTAAAGTACAAGGGGATGTTCTGAAACAGTTATACAATTACTATTATACAAATTCTCAATATAAAAGGGGAAAAGTGGCTCTGAATTAGGCATTTCATACAGAAATGCCAGTTCCAGTGATTACTGATACAGTGAGTTCCATCCAAGCCAGTCAACAAATTACATCATGTTATCTGAAGAGAAAACACCTCAAAGGTAACAGGAAAAATACCGAACAATGAACATTTGTCACATTTTATGTAAAGTAAAAAATTGGTCTTTGTAAAACAGTGCTTCTAATTTACATAATGATATCATTTCAAGTCTTGTTAGAAAGCCATGGATTTTTGCGGCCTTAACCCTTGCTATTCATTATGGTTATACTTTGGAAGCTACAATTACTGCATGGTGAAATTATGACAATTTTAGCCAGTTGTACATTGTACATGGATGATGCAGGATAAAGCTGTGCATGGCTGCATTTAACTGACCTGAACTTGTTTGAAGAAAAATATGGTACATTTTTTCAAAATAGCCATAGAACCATCAGAAACATAAATGTTTAAATAAGAACAAAGGAAACAGTTTACAGTTTACACAGGAAGATACATATGTAGACAGGATAAAAATAATTATTGGCATTGGCATTTTTGAGGCAGAACAGTTTCACTACTTCACAAACGAAAGGAAGATCAACAGAATATCTCTGCTCTGTAAATAATATAAAGTTCGGCTAATACAGTACATTAATAGGTTGAACGTATTGAGGACTTAACATATCTCTCCAGTCATAATCTCTAAACACATGTATTTTTTATTCAAAGAAGACAAAAAGAAGGAGGATTATGGCCAAATATATAATAAACTATATATTCGTACTATTATAATGTCAATTAAAATATAATACATCTACCAATATAAATGAACTAATACACCCTTTTACCCCTGTGGGGATCTTAATCCATCTTGAAGTGTATAACCTCTTGCTCACTTCCAAAGCAAAGCTTTTGAGCAAAACTTCCATCGAGACATAAAAAGCTAACAATTGGCTAGGCTCAGTTGCACTTTGAAAAGTTTTGAAGAGCACCCTCTTTCTTCCAACTTGTCCACACAGACATAAGTTGTGTCACATGTTGCCTAAGAACATATCTTAAATCTCACTATCAGTCCCTGGGAGATGCTTGGCTTAAAGACGCAGAGAGAAGTCGTCACTCACTTATGGACTAGAAGGGAGTCTGGGAGATGGACAAGACCCTTGACTGTCAAAGCTTGCGGTGCGAGTCTTCCACTGAAAGAGAGACGGAAAACAGAAGGAAAGAGAGGGAGAGATTTGAATATTGAAATGAAAATGTACTTTTCCACTCTGGAAACGTTTGAGAACCGACAGTCACCTCCTTCTCAGACTTCTTGGGCTCTACGAGCGGGTGCCAGTGAGCAATGGGTTTTCGAGGGTAAGCGAGCATCTCATTCCAGTGATCTCTTCCAAGTCCCTCAGCATGGCTCCCTACACGACAGACTCCAATGATCTCATTATGTCCCACTCTACACACCAGGAGAATAAGGAATATATTGTGAAGCACACAGACAACACAACATAATATTTGTACAGAGAAAATATCAGATATTGAAGAACACTCACAGATCGTAGTCCATAACCGATATGTGTAAGCTGACTTGATCCATATTCTCTGGGGGAATGTCAAATATTATCGCCTCATTATATGTTGGATTCAATGTGTTCTTTTTTATGGAAGTTTTCTTCTTTTTCAAACGTCTCCCATCACAGATCAGTGACACCTTCACATACGGATCTGCCAACAGAGCAGGGAGGTGTGACATCAATTTCTCAACGTATCAACCTTGTCTTCTCATGGTCTGAAAATGTCTGATGAAAGCACTTGTAATTCGCTTGCTGACAATGATAAATGTGTCTGTCTATGTGTATAAAGATGGAGCCAAGAAGGACACAGATGAAAGAAAATAAAGACACAAACATAAAAAAGACAGCAGCACACCTGAATAACCGGTAATATCCATGGCTTTGAGATTCCTACATTTGATGACCGTAAGTGTGAGTCTCCCTGCAGTTGGCAAGTAGCAGAGAGAGAACATTATCTCTCCCAGATCAACGCTTTCCTGCAGAATCAAATGGAGACACACAAAATCCAGTTGACCATGGCATCATTACAAATAAAATAATACTGTATAGTAGTTACTATTCATAATCTTCATTATGTTAGTATTTCGTACTGACGGTGAGCAAATTTAAACTTCTTTAATCCCAATTCTGTACACTATTTAAATGTTTGGGGTCAGTAAGATTTTTTGTTTTGAAAAATTAATACTTGTATTTAGAAATGATGCATTAAATCATTAAAAAAATATTTAAAAAGGTGCTCTGTTCTTTGTTTTTTAGCTTTCTATTTATTAAATAATCTTGAAAAAATGCATCATAGTTTCTACATTGATAATACAAAGAAATCTTTCTTGAGCATCAAATCAGCAAATTAGAATGATTTCTCAAGGATTGTGAGACTGAAGACCTGGTAAGATTAGGGTTAGTTCTCCCAAAAATTTCAATTCTGTCAGTAATTACTCAACCTCACGTTGTTCCTCACGCATCACACACAAGACCAGTGTTGGCCAATAGTGAGCCAACATTCTGACAACACAGAAGCGCTGCGCACAAAATTCTTGTTGCTTGATAAACTTAAGGTTGAGCCACTGTAGTCACTTGGACTATTTTAATGATTTTATTTTAAGGGACTTCTGTCAAAAACATTAATAAAACCGTACAGACCCAATTTTTTTAAATAGTATTTTTAATAAGCGAAAATGCAGTGTAAAAACATTCTTACTTAAACTGATGCATTGAATAGAACACAATTCACATAATAATGGTTTTATGAAAAAGATAGGGACATAAAACCATTAGGAACAATTCCTATAGGAATAATCAGTTTGGTATTTTACAGAACAGACAACTGAATTCACTCAGGTAGTGACAAACCAAAATGTTTCAAACCAAACATATCAGGGTTGTCTTCATTTAGAAGTTTGGAAGTCAGTCCTGTATTCTATAGACAAATACAATGATAATTTATGGGATGCACTGCCACATCTAAATATGGTTGCTACTTCATAAAGATGCTGTACTACTAAGTCTCTTCAGCAAGCCTGAAAACTAGAGATGAATTGATTGTAACCAGGGCCAACAACTGCCATTAATAAACTGGTCTGACAGACCATTCAGATGAAAGGTAGTGAGTGCATAACA